TCATTTATGTCTGTGGACCGCTTACATGCCTGGAGGCTTCAAAGTCCAGAAAAGAGAGTGTTGGATCCCCTAGTGACTCGAGTCACAGATGGCTGTAAACTGCCATGTGGGTGGCAAACCCTGGTCCGCTGCAAGTATTCTTAGCCGATGAGCCATCTCTCTAGGCCCTGTTTTGTTTTTGTGAGACAGGATTTCAAGTAGCCCAAGTTAGCCTCTAACTCACTATGTAGCCAAGGACAACCTTGAGCTTCTGATCCTCCTGACTCTATCCCTCAAGTTGTTGATGCAATCCCAAACTTGGCCTCCATCTTTAGAGACCCCTCCCCTTTGCCCCTCGAACCTTGACCCCTCCCCAGGAAAAGTCAAGACCACTCCCACAGGCTACTTAAACTGATCCTCAGAAAATAAACACATGGTTTTCCCTCTTTCTCTCAGGTGGTCACATTGACTGATTCCTGTTCCCCTTGGGGCCACCCGGGAGCACAGGTGTCTAATTAAACCTGGATATCTTTTAATTTGGTCTAATTTGGCTTGGTTGGGGTTATTTTGCGTCAGTGGAGTGACTCGGTCAGGAAATATTCCTAACAGTTGACAGAACACATTCAAAACTCCACCCCAGAAGCTGCTGCCGATTGTCACAGATCCCCTAACATCAGGCTTTGGTAGGGGTGGATTTATAACTGTCCCACCTCAAGCCTCAACACCCGAAAGTACCCTGCAAACATCCGCCCTGTTCTCCTCCCCATATTTGATTCATATCAATTTTCTTTTAGTTTGATGTGGTTTGGTACCTTCTGGTTCACGTCCCATCATGGGCTGGGTCACTTGCCCTGGTGTCTGTGTCCTATGAGCTGCTCCCTGTGGTTGATTTTTATTTTTATTCTTTGCTCTTTGGAAGCTCGCAACTCAGCTTCCTAATAAATACACAGAGACTTATTCTTACTTATGAATGCCTGGCTTTAGCTTGGCTTGTTCCTAGCCAGCTTTTCTTAAGTTATTCTCTCTACTTTTTGCCTCTGGACTTTTACTCTATTCTATATACCTTTCTTTCCTTCTTACTCTGTGGCTGCCTGGGTGGCTGGCCCCTGGCGTCCTCCCTCCTCTCCTCCTTTTCTTGCTCCTTCTGTCCTCTCCTCTCCTCCCCTCCCCTCCCCTCCCC